GAGGGGAAAAAAAAAAAACATAATAACCACTCCAAACAAAATCATTCTGTTATAGCAAATGGGAGATTCATAAGCAACTGATCTTTCCCCCAAACAGGCAGGCACACTGTGCTGGGAAAGGCCCCTGTAAGACATCTCAAAGCCTTACTGATGTGCTTGGAATTATAATGGTTCTTGTGATGCTGTGGCCTGGCCACTCACAGGGTTTTTTTGTTTGGTTGGTTTTGGTTTTGGTTTGTGAGACAGGGTCTATGTGGCTCTGGCTGTCCTGGAACTATGTAGACTAGATTGGCCTCAAACTCACAGAGGTCAGCCTGCCTCTGCCTCCCCAGTGCTAGGATTAAAGATGTGCACCACCACTTGTGTGTAGCTTTGTAGTGTTTCTTTCAGCATATTGCCGGTGAGATTTGTGTTAAAAGAAATGGTTTCATTCATCAGACCTTAGAATATGTATGATGGCATGAAGCAAAGGAGAGAAAGCACATTTTTCTACACGTGTATAATTAAAAACCATCTCCACAGATGGTTTCCTAGGACCCAGGGTTCTCTCTCCAGCTCTGCTGTGTTCTCTGTGTGGTTAACACAGCACACTTTTGATAAGAGTATTTTTATAAGATCATTTGTTTTAATCTAAGCATTTATCATTATATGCAAAAGCTTTCCTGATGAGAATACTGTAGATGGTGCATGGTTTTGACGTTAGCATTTTATTTGGATGACCGATCTTGCAGATGTGAAATGTCAATGAATTATTCATGAAATTGCTTTCTTCCAAAATTTTAGTTTGGCTCTTCTTGTCAGTTATTAAGCACTTTGTTTTGTTTTTTTTTTTTTTGGTTTTCCTTATCAACTTTGGTGAAGAAGAGTGTGTGCTCCCTCTGACAGAGCAGGCCCTTCCACCATTCCTCAGAACCTTTCTTCAAACAGCTTCCCTTAGCCAGCTCACCAGGCTGACCCAGAATCTGGCAGCAAGCAGCTGCTGCTAAGAGTCAGCTTGCGGCATGTGCCTGCCACAGGGTCTCAGCAGGTCAGAAGTGGGGGAAAAAACTTAGGCTGTGGCAACTTTGTCTACCAGTGTGAACAACCAGCATTTTTATTGCATTTGAGAACGCTCTCATGTCAGTCAATAGTACTGACTACACAACATTTTTTTTTTATTGTCTGCATCCACAGACATGGAATGATGGAATTACAGTTGATGTCAAGGAATGAGATTCTTTTATGCCTTATCGAAACAAAACAAAACAAAACAATCCTTGTTAGTGGCAGCACATATACAGAGAGCACCACGCTCACAACCCAGACCGCACCATCTCCACCCAGGCTCCTGGGTAGCAGGGACTGCATCAAGTTACAGTGGACCCATGAGACGCCGTTGGAATTGTCCATTTGCTTCTCAGGATAATAAAGTGAAACCAAATTGCAAAACACTTCCAGACTGTCAGGAGGGTATGGCATTGACCAAAAGGTACCAAAAAGATTCGAAGTCATTAGCAGAGTCTGCTTTGTGCCCTTGGAGACAGAGCTCAGCTAGAATGTGGAAAAGAGGAGACTTTCAGTTTGATTTTGTGTGTGATCAAAAAAAGAAGAGCTAGTGATTTACATTACATTTTGGTTCTATTATGTTGTTTATCTTTTAAACCAAGGCTTGCTTTATTATGGCTAATGGGATGCTGGGAATGTCAAGTCAACTGTCTTGTGAAGTGGGGAGGGCACTGGCAGCTAGGTCACCATGTACATAAGTCTTGATGGTTCACCCTTTGCTGCCCCAATACGGCAGCCTAAGTCTTTTCACATGGATAGACCCTAGGGACAACAAGGGTGGGTCCTCACCAGGACTGTGTGTGCCTGACACATGGGCCCACCTCCCTCCTGTTTGCTTGATCCTTACTAAGAAAAAAAAGAAAAGAAAAATTAACAAACTGTCTTTACACCTTGGGACCTTGTAAAATTTTTTTTATACAAAAATTTCAGTATTTTCAACACTTCCCATTATTAATCACTACTTTACTGATAAAACTTTGAAAGTGTGACCCTGGAATTTCATCATGCAAAAATATTGACTGCAGCAGGAGAGAACATCTTTTTTAAACAACTTTTTTTTTTTTTTTTTCTCTTTTCAAACTTAGGACTTAATCAAGAAGGCAGTGGCAGGGTAAACACAAGGAACAGGAATGTATCAAAAACAGATTCACACACACACACATTCACACACACACACACACACACACACACACACACACAATCACACACACACCCCACCCCACAAACCTGTACAAAATGTTTCAATTAATGAGAATAGGAAACAAATTATGTCAACTATGTTACAATTTAAAAGCCAAAAAGGAAAAAAAAAAAAGTGTTCTGGAGTTTCTTCTTTCCTCCTACATGTCAACATGTCACCCAATGTTCGTAAATCAAGGGTAATGAAATAAAATACATGTGCAGCATTGACTGCAAATCCATTACATACAGTAGATTTTTACCCCCAAAGATACTGTGGTTTTCTTCTGTTTTAAAGTATCATTAATAAAATGCAGTTGCACAAAAAGCAAAGATGTTTTGACAAACAGGTATATGCATTTATTCCTCTTTAGGAACAATACCTAAAAAATAAAATAATTAAAAAAAAAAAGAGCTGCCCTTGGCCCTCCCCCACAAAAGACAAAGATTCACACAGACACATCGGGATATATGTACAACCGAATCAACCCCATTCTAAAGAAGCGACCACAATCCTCCCCCCAAGGGACAGAATCAGAACTGTAAAAATCAGAGTGAAGATTGCTTGCTGTAAAGCCTGAGAACTTTTTTTTTCTTTTTCAGTTGGTTCTTCTGCAAGGCTGTGACACCTGCAAAGATATGTAAAATCTAATTTTTCTTTTTCTTTTTTTTTTTTTTTTTTTGCTACAGTCTTTAGACTAAGCATGCAAGACATACGACTAAGTGCAACTGAATGAAATGTATATTTTTAAAATTTTTTAATCATTCCCTAAAGGTTTGAACTGAGGTATGCGTACTAACAGTTCTCATGCTGTTATCTTTACTCATGTCTAGCTACACATGCTGAGAATGAACTAATCTACCAGATTTTTATCCTCTTTTGAATATCTAACCAGCAACCACTCAGTTTAGAAGCACAGGCCCCCTTCCCATGACCCTGCCTGGCTACTGCCTGCACATCATGAAGCTGCCTGGAAAAGTGGGGGGTGGAGGCATGAGTAACCACAGATGCCCCTGAAGGAAGGCAGAGCAAAGCTTCAGAAGTAATTGCCAAAGACGTTCTATTCTAAGCTAATGAGTGGATGGGAATGTTACCTTTTTGTGTGTGTGTGTGTGTGTGTGTGTAAATGAAAAATGCTGACCAAATCATAATCTGAGAAAGGAAAAAGAACAAAAAGCAGAAAGAATCTAGAACTAGAGGATATATATGCCAAGATAAAACAAAACTAATGCAGTGATTACAGCACAGCCTTTAAACAAAAGTGGCATACCAATGTTCTAAAAAAAAAAAAATATTTTTATTCTAGAAGTGGCCTAGTGCAGTCAGACACTTTTCCGTTCTCTCTGAAGTCATCCTAAGTGTCTCCTTGATTTACACACTAATTTCAGCATCATACATTCATTTCTTTTTCTAAGATGGTAACCCATTCTTTCTGTAGGAGCTATAATACTGTTTTCCTGTTCATATTTTTCTTTTCTCTGCAGTAGCCCCATATTTTCTCCTTACAGGAGTTAGTTTTGGTCTCTGTACAAGTACAGGAAAGGAAAGGGAAAAAAATAGAAAAAAGTAAAAAACTTTGGTTCCATTGCCTACTTAGTCTGCTAAATGAACTCTGTTGGAGGGGTAGTTATTTCCCTCCGGTTGGCAAATAGCCTGGACCTCATCATTTGCCTCTGAATCCTTTTGCCTCCTTTGATCAACAATAAGAGGATATTTGGCTTCATCAGATAAAGCATAAAAGAAAATAATTTACCTTTGCGCAATATCTTTGGTAATTTTAGAAATAAAAGGTACAAAGTATATAAATTAAGCTTCGAAAGGCTCTCCAACTAAACCCAAACGAAAGCTACAGCCCTAGATAAATAAACGCCAGGGAAGTGGGTGCAGATGGGGTGTGGAGGGGTTTGAAGGGTATACCAACCTAGAGCCATTGCATTCTGTGGGCCCTTGTTCCAGGAGCCTCCGTCTGCCTACTGTTATCACCTGTTAAGTTTGTGCTACTAGGGTGGTGTGATTCTATCACACTGCAGAGTGAACTGCAGTGCCGACTTTGCACACTGGAAACCCACACATCAGCATCTACTGGGCTCAGTGCTCATTAGCTCCCATAACAAGTTCAAGGTGAAGTCTCATTTGCATTAAAACAGATGAACGCCACCAAGCTGGTCTCAACTGACTGCAAACTCAGCGCTGTCACCATGGTGAGTAAAGTTAGTTAGGGAAGCTGGCTTTCTTTTTGGTCATTTTGCAAACAAAGCAACCCATGCTGGTAAGGACAACAGAGTCTGTGGTCCTGGCCACTTGCTTATAGGGGGGAGAGCCTTCCATGGTCATCGTGCCAGTCTAATTATTAAGGGTTGTTTACTCTTTTCATTGTCTCTCTTGGCTGTGTTTCCTGATGCTGAGAGAGTGTGGCAGCAGTTACTCACAATGGTGGGCACAATGAAAAGATCTCGAACGTTCCCATCCCACCCCAATACTGCTCTGTGAAATGAATCTGCTATGTTCCTAGAGTATGTGCGTGTGTTTCTCTCTCCTTTTCTGTCAACCCTTCTCCTTCGGGCAGGACACCATGTCCCTGTGAGAGGACCTTCAGATGTAAGGTGCAGCCTTTGGGATCTTTTCTCTTTTCTTTCTTTCTTTCTTTTTTTTTTTGAAAAAAGACCAAAATGGAATGTTTTGTTTTGTTTTTGTTATTTTTTTTTTTAAACTTGAGAGAAACGTGGCAATGCCTATAGGAAAATGGAATGAGTGCCGGAAAACTACAGACGAGAAATGACATTCAGCTTTGTATAATAAAAACACCTATTAACATTCATCACAAGGTACAGAAAACGTGAAGCCTCCAAGAGGCCATGGGCCCAAATGGAGGCCTGAGGTCAGAACTTAAAATGGTACAGAAGAAGAAAAGGAAAAAAAAAAAAAAAGAGCAATACATTAAAAAGTTTGGGATAATTATTTTTAACCCCTCCCCCCAATAAACACACAAAGGCCTTCCCCATCCCAACTGGAAGCAAAAACAAAAACAAACAAACAAAAAAGAAAACCAAAGTGAGTGAAGGCAGTGATATCAACATGCAGTGCTGTGCAAATAGGTCGTCCACTGGAATCTGGAATTCGGGCGAAGGCTTGGTCTGCGGCCGGCGCAGGTGCGCGAGCTCAGTCGGGTGTCCTCGGTGGGTGTCGGCCTTGGCAGGACAAAACTGCAGTTCAAAGTCTGCTGCGAAAAGTGAATCCGTTTACCGAATTTACAACACTGATGTTGACTCAAAGAGGAAAATCCCAAGTACCAAACAGGTCCATCCAATGCACAGAGTACAAATCCCTTTTGTCAACAAAAAGTAGAAAAATCAAAAATACTCCCAAATGGGATTCTTGATGGCACTAAGAGTTAACACATTTCAGAGTTGTCAAAATGTAGCGAAAAACCCTCCAGACCGTACAACGAGCGGAGAACGGCTTCACTGCTAACTTCTGACCTGTTTTTTTTTTTTCTTTTCTTTTTTTTAAATTTGTTTTGTTTTGCTTTTTTTCCCAATCTTCGGTCTCGGGGTCGGCCCGCCCAGAGGTTCACTCCATGTCCTCATTTACTGGTTCATCTTCATAATCTCTGTCATGGTCAAAATCTGGACTGTGGTTGGCTGTTGTCACTAAGGACAGAGGCCCTTCTGCTTCCTCGGGGTCAAGGGGTTCCTCTTTGACGTGTACGGGATGCCTATATATAGAGAGAGATAGAGACAGATATGGAGATGGAGATGGGGGGGGGGGAGAAAACAGGCTTAGAGGGGCATCTGGATTGATGTATAGCCGGAGTTGGGGCAACCTAGAAGACGCGTCCTACAGCAATGACACTGTCCTGTAGAGACAGAGTGACCCTGGCCACATGTGTTTTCAAATATAGTGGGAAACTTGCTATGACCTTATATCTGTTGATATTTTCACTGCCCACATCCCAAGGGTCTAGGGAACCACATGTGGCTAGGGGCTTCTGGACTGCTCAGTATAACAGCACTGGTGCTCAGAGACCCTTTGGACATCTCTGTTTTAGGAAGGATTCTGGACAGAAATCACTTCTGCTTTTCAGGACACACAAATTACTGGACGACCTTGTGACAGTGCAGTGTATGGAGCTCAGACTCTCTGTTTCTAAGAGATTCAGGGTGATGGTGCTAATCCCAGGACCACACTTTTGAGTGCCAAATAACAGGCCCCATAGCGACATCCTGGGTGGATGAATGCCACCCTGCAAGTAATTACGTGAAAGGGGAATCTGTAATACGGCAGTGGTTCATGGGGACCACTGAGCACAGGAGGCTGGCTGGGCTAATCATGACTTGCTGTGTGTTCTGCTCTGCTAGTTAACATGCAGAACCTATGAAAGAACCCTCCAGAGGACGACCCCAAGTGAGGGCCTATCATTAATCAACTTCAAGCAAACACAGCAAAGAGACACCATGATACATGCTTGAAGCTCCAAATTAATGCATATTTTTACAAACTGTCAATAAGGCAAGAAAAGCCCTGCCAGGAAACACAAACGGAAAGGAAAAGGCTTGCTCAACACAAGGGTGTGATAAGAGAGCAGAGCCCCAATCAGAATAATAACACTGTCAGCTGTAAACAAGGCAAAACATGAGGCCCGGCTGGTAGCCGCCACCGGGGACGCTCTAGCTACCTTGAGAGCTGCCAACTTTCTCATTATGGACTGGGGCTCGGTTCATCTAAAGGGGCTGGCATGATCACACAAGACCACTCTGATAACAACTGTGAAAAGCTGTTCGTAAATCATATTTACAACTGATCTCTTGCAAATACAAATGACTTTCTGTTGTGGGGGGCCTTTTGATATGTAAAAGAACCATTCAAGTTAAAATGTGCCCATCTCTGAGACACGCTGCAAATGGGAGGGACTTATATTGGACATTATCAAGTATTAGTAATAAGAGGTGGTACCAGAGATTGGCTGGCTTCCTAAATAATTGATGCTGTATGCAAGCCCCAAAGGCCCCAGGAACCATTTAAAAACAAACAGAGGCCTGCCCTGGAAGACAGGAACCTTCAAAATCAATTGACACTAAAATTAGCACAGCATAAAGGGAGTTGGGGGGGGGGGGGCTAGATGTCAGATAAATAGCTTTAAACAATTATACCCATATTCTTACATACCATTTGTACAACAAACCAGAGATGCACAGTATATTTTATACATGGGTCCTTGGCTATTTAAAATTCTTAATAGTCGTGCTTGTCTTTGTTTCTGAAATAAGGCCTAGGCCTAGCTATCTAGTCTGCAGAGTTCCTGAATGGAAAATATTCACTTCAAGAGGAAAATCAAATACTGCAAAGAGGGCAGTGTCCTTCCATGCTTGGGGTACCATGTCACTGAACACGTCACATGCCTGTGTAGTCAGCCCCGATTATGGTTACTGCCAGTCCCTCACTTCCCTTTGGGAACATATTATTACATGCTTTAGACACAGCAGGAATTATTTTCTTACTTTTGTGTATTTTGTCAGGCATTCTGCAGTCCCTTCCTTCCCCTCCGATGTTTGCATAGTACAGTGAGCCACTGCTAGCCATTAATCTTTCTCCTTCTGTTGATTTACCTCCTTGGGATAAATGTCTAAGAATGCAATTGTTGGAGCAGAGGCCAAAACATCTTTATGGCTCTCCTGATTTATTGGGATATTAATTTGCAGAGGGGTGCTATCAAGTGAGACTCGATGTCAGTGCCCCAAGTGTTACTTTGAAAGAACAGTTTGTGGTCTCACAGGTGTGCGGTATAATCCGAGTTACCTTAAACCACACCCCCTGCATTACCAGCCACATCAAATGTTTAGTTCTGTCTCCTGATTTCACTACAGGGAAAACTGTGACTTTACCAATCATTCCATGAACTGACTGTGGGCTTGGTAATAATGTCCAGCAGCAGGAATTTGCCTTTTAAAAACATTTTTTTAAAGCAGTTACTGAGGCTCAACTGCTATTCTCCAGAATGCCACTTTTCAGCTTAAAATTTTTAAAGCTATAATACTTAGTACTTAAAAATCTCTGGTTTCCAAGGTGCAGTGTTACACAAAGTCTCAGAGGTATGGATCGGAAACGCTAGGAAAATATAGACTCATCTTAACTCGTTGTTGTTGCTTTACAACTGTAAATCATGGCCCCCAACAACAAGAACAACAAATGGAAGGCTTTCCCAAATGAGGGTTCTTAACACCAGAGACTGTTCTGTTCTCCCAAAAAACTCATTGAGTATTTACTGTGCCCCAGACACGGGTAATGATGCTGACACATCTACATGGTCTAGCCTAGCGCTTAGCATAGAATGGATGGATGGATAGCCAACAAATACCACCAACAAGATCTGCTGTGCAACGACCTACAAGTCTACACCAGACATGACAGTAAGGGTTCTTTAGCTTTCCATGTAAGATTCAGACTGTCGTTAAAGGCTTCCCTCCCACTGGGCATATACATAGTGTGCCAGCTACAGAATAGGGCTAAACAGTGGGTGCCTCTCTTAAGCCCCCTACCAGGCCTACTATTTCCAAAAGGGTTCCCAATGAATAATGGAGCAAAATACCATCTCTCTGTTCCCCTTACATCTGAGTAATCCTTTTGTACAGCCTTCATGGAAACACAAGGGTTTTTAAATTATAGACAACTAGTGTTTCAAGGCATTGTGTCCCTCCCTGTTCAGGGTATACACACATCACAGAGCCTTTGGTACGGTGGCCCTTTAGCTCCTACTGGAATGAAAATATGCTGCCCCCAAATCATTATTATGTGACTACCTTCTACAGGGTTTTTTTTTTTTTTTTTTTTTTTTTAAGAGAAAGGCAATGCTGTGCTTTGTATCACAGCAAAGTGAAGAGCAGGGAGCTGTATTACAACACCAGCTTCCTAACAGTGTCTTGTAAGCCTTGCTGTAAAGTTTATGGCTTGATTTATTCCAATAGACTGGAACAGTTAAAAAACAATTTGCATCCTAGCAGGGTAATGCACACTGGACAAGAATGAAATCTCTGTCATTACAGAACTCACTTAATGGAAGTACGGGGTCAGCAAGTCTAACTGGCTATGACACTGATAGGAACACAGTGAAGCTGTTGTGGGCACAGAGCACCACGGGGGGCACATGGCGAAAACCTGATGTGTGAGCATCACGCTTTGATAGCACAATGCAGGGGCTTCTCTCTCTCTCTCTCTCTCTCTCTCTCTCTCTCTCTCTCTCTCTCTCTCTCTCTCTTTCAAGCAGTTGAGCCTTTGTTTTGTTACACACTAGGATGACTGCTGTAAAACACAGTGTTTTGGTACCTCTGCAGTTCATTCACTCTTGTTAAGCAACTGAACTTCCATCTCCATGAACCAACCTACCTTTCCTTCCTTCCCCATGCTTTCTTTCTTTTACATGGATTACACCTTGAGTTTGAATAGACTGTAAAAAAAAAAAAAAGCGCTGTGCCTTCCACTCAGTAACTTCATATAGCCTTCCTCAATGGCTGTGTCTTAGAGTGGCTCTTATGCCTGAACTTTAATGTTGTTCTGACAAACTGTCCCAACAATGTTGAATATCGGTGAGATAACAAAAGAGTCAGAAACACCAGCTTGCTTTAGGGAAGATGAATTTGGTGGCAGTAGTGGGAAAGACACACACATTCCTAAAATGCTAGAATGTCAGTGCTGTCAGACTATGCCCACAAACTAAAAACCATCACCCCACCTCTAAAGATCCCCTTTAGAGCACTCAGGGCATGGGATTAAAATGCTAGAAAGCAAAATCTTAGATTTCCCCAGAAGGCTACCATCCCCCCCCCCCTTTCACTATATGCCAGTTTGTTCCGTGTCTCCTTGTTAAAGGTCACATTTTCCATTCCCGTCCCTTGAATTTCCTAAAATAAGATGTTGGTCAGTAATCCAGAAAGAATGTGCAGACAAGTGGCCTATTCTTGGAGCGGACAGCACTGGAAAACACTGAACTGGTTTAGTCCCTCAAAGTGGGCCATGGCTTTGGAGAAACTCGCTGAAAAGGGAGACTGCCATTAGCCGCTCTTTCTTTTCTGTTTTTCAACCCTTCCTAGGAACAAAAGAGGGGCTACGGCAGAGGCGGTAGTTTTCAGCCTTCACCTGCCACAAAGGGGCACCCCACCCGGGTGGCCTTGTTGAGATTTGTGTGGTCCCTGTGCCATTCGCATCCAGCCCAGGCGACCATCACCCATTGCTTCACTCGGTTATATGTGCTCTCATTATCCTGCCGTCTGCTGCTGTAATGCTCCTATTAATTTTCCTTTTGATATTTTAAGAGCAATCTATAAATCATGCCTCCTTTCATGTGTGCCATCATTAATGCTTGGTAATAATGCTGTGGTGTCGAGCTCAAGTGGTTAAACTTAGCGCACGACCACGTAAACATGCATCTTTTCCCGGGCTGGGTTCGGCTTGCCTGGAAACTGAACACACCATGGGCTTTCTCAGAGGTGTATGCTGACTTTTAGAGGAAAAAATCACAGTGTGACTTAAAAAATGGTCTGAGACACAAAGTGGAGGGACTGCTCATTTTCTTGCTGTGCACACTTACAGTGGATGAAACCCATCTATCTCTTTTATGAGAGAGCTACTAACTAGTTCTTTTATGCACTAACAAGTGACACTGAGGCTCTTAAGGAATCAGAAATGATCAGAAAGGTATACAGAAGGGCCGGAGAGGAGCATCCTTGAACATTTAGCAGGGAGACTGGGATCAGGTGACAAAGAGCTCTGGGTGGATGGTACTCACACAGCTTGCATAGGGGATCTGCCCGGACTGCTGTCGCTCTCGTTGCTGTTGGTGTGCTCCATGGCCCCATTCAGCTCCTCCCGGATGGCACTGGCCAGGTTGCCCAGAGTGGGATTTCCCATGGAAGCGGTAGTGTACAGAGGTATGCTATTCTCAGCCATGGAAGCCTGCATCAACCAAAAGAAACCCAATGAAATTGTAGGGGAGACAAGACAAGAAAGCTCTGTGTTAGGAACATGTGGTGTGTTTGACCGCCTGTGATTCAAGTTCACTGTATCATGGCTGACAATTTCCAGGAGCTGTGAGATTTTGCTTGAGAGCTGTAGGAGCCCTGGACTTCATTTGGATAAGCTATCTGAGCACTGCTGAGTCCATGGGTGAAGTTGCCTGCTGGCCCTGCCTTGTGGAGTCATACAGTTTAGACAAAAGTATTTAATATGAAGTGTATATCCAATGCCTTTTTTTTTTTTCAAGAAGAACTGAATATTTCCAGCTCATAGTGAAATATAATGGAATTTTCATTTCTTTATCCACTTTGATGACTCCACTATTGGATATCCAAGAGTTGATCAGATTATATGGCCACATGGCTCAAATTTATGAGAACTTCCATAGATACCCATAGTAAAGGAGGAGGTTATAGAACCGGAATCGCTTTTTCTCTCCCATCATTCCCATTTTAATGATTTTTGAACCTGCTTAGTGAAGGTTGACATAACCAGATGAAGGCAACACCCTAGGCTTCCAGCCTCGGACCAATGATGGAGGACTTTGAGAGCAAAGAAGAATCTCTAACAAAAAGAGAGGCTAAATCTTATTTCCTTTCCAACTAAGTATTTCAATATTACAGGTGACAAAGTCATTCTAAATATGAGTGTCAGACAAAAAAAAGAAGGGGGGAGGACCACTCCCTACTCCCCCCAACTCAAAAAGAAGCCCACCCCCAAACTCAAGTTTGACAGACTACTGTTCATTTTCTGTCACACCAAATGTAACTATTATGGCCACACTGTCTACAATGTGGACAATTGTCCAAAAATACCATGGGACTAACAGAACCCCATTTATTTCACTTGGGTAGGAAGTGTGCCCCAGTGACTTCTCATTTTATTATTCAGGAGGACAGACTTGGAAAAAGAGGCAGCTGTAATTAAGATGAAGATTTATCAAAATTGTCTTCTTGCAGACTACACTATGCCTGGTTTTCCATCCTAATGAGAGAAAGTACGATCACAAGACAATCTGGCAGAGTGGCTTCAGTTGGCCCATCATGTGAGAGTCCTAACTATTCTAGAAAAGCTGGCACCACAGAGAAGGTATGAGCCAGGAACAAAGGAAAACAGGAGCGGATCCGGGCTGCAGTGAGTCTGCCTCTTAGTCAGTTACAGTCCTGCTCCCGTGTAAAACCCAGCGTCTCCCTCTTTCCCCTATGGACTTATCTGCTTCTCTTTTATAAGTCAAGGGAAGAGGGTACCATCTCCTGCCTTCCCAGCGTGGTGACCAATGCCCATACTTCTGTGGCATGTTGGATAATCTGCTTGCATCCAGCATCTTTTATAAAACCAATAAAACATTTCTATGCTTTCTGGGCACAACAGTTGGCAAAGTAATATTACTGCCAGCTGCAGCCGGGCTGCCATCTCTAGCTGCCTTATGTGAGCCTACATAGTGGTCACCCTCCCCTGCCATGTAAGTACTGCCTGGACTGTCAACTGTGTAGCCCTCTCTCTGGAAGTACCATGGGATCTGCTCTCACTGAACATGTTGCATGTTAAGGATGGAAAGAAGCTGATGCCATTGTTACCTTGATAATTTATTGGATTCTAAAGTCCCAGACTGAGAAATAAAAACCATGGAAACAACTAGAGTCTATTAGGATGAGTGTCTGTTATTCTTTTTTTATTCTCAAAATATTATGGGTAAAAGACACTTCTGATTGTAAAGACCTTGTCTTGGTCCTTTAACTCTCAGACACAACCTAAGTACAGAGAACCAGTCTTGTGCCTTTAAACAAAACACTAGCCACTGGGCTACAGTAAGATCCTGGAGCCTGGTCTACCACCATGACTCCTGAATACTCTTTTTGCAGAGTGAAGGATCAGAGCAACTCACAAATTATCACCTTCTAACAGGTCCTTCCTGTAGCTGATGCTCTTAGGAGCAGGTATGTCACAACGTTTATAATGGACTTAATTACATAAATGATCCTAGGCACAGTATGTGGCTTCATATCAAACCGGCACCTCTGCAAGGAACACAAAGGTTCTTAAGTGATGGCACACGAGTCCGTAAGTACCAGTGTCTGGAACGTTAACTGCTCTGAGCTCCCGGGGAAAAGGCAGTCTATAAATATGAAGCTTTACAGTTACCCGTAGTTACTTCTCTTTTTCAGAACATAATGCAATCTGTCCCAAGCCCCATGTTTTATTTCTGTAGTGGATTCTGCTGTCCTATTTTATAAATTGTATATCATGCCGTTATGTCGCTCTAGTAATTTTTTTTTTAAGATATTGTTGCACTGTTATTTTTACTCGCCGTGAAAAATGGAAGTGGGTGATAATGGAAAGGAAGGCCTGCTGGTGGGGTCTTTATTTAATTTGCATGGCAGGAAGCTGTCTTGTATGATTGGCTGTCTGCTGGTGGGGAATCCAAATTCAAGAGGAGGGGCCAAGGAGATACTCCTTAAAGAGTTCCTGGAAAGCTGCAGGACAGTTCTGGGTGAGCAGGGGAGACACGAAGTGTGCAGTGCGTGCAAAAACAAAGGTTTGGGAGATGAAGCATGAACATGTCTGTAACAAAGCACGCTAATTGAAGGCAGTCACATAGTTAAGGGAATCCAAAGGACAGGGCTCCTTGCTTATTTTTTTCCCCCTTTCTGCCTCGTGAATGTAAAATGTGCTTGTAATTTTAATACCCATCCAGATAAAGCTGCCTTTAAATTCATACTTCACAAGACTCCAGGGAAAATAAGTTACTAATGCATGGTATTTACAGAGGCAGCGTGTAAGCGGGCTTTCATTTGCTCTTCTAAAGTTACTACGTAAACCACAAGTAATTAAAAGAAATGCAGAGAGTAGTTTCTCCTAGTAAATTTGGTTCAGGCTAAAAAGAAATAAATAGAATTACTGAGATGCTCAGTTCAGCGGGTCTGCCTTGAACTGTATAAGGGGCACATTATCCTCAAGGAGCCTGAGGATGCTGCGGGTGAGCTAGGAAGACAGGTCTGTGGCAAGCAGAACAGGGGCTCAGTCAATATTTGTTTAGTAAGTGGTGAGAATCAGGCTGCTGTCAATGCTCTTCCTTCCCCATCCAGTTCCCATAATGCCACATGTTCCGAGCCTTTTCCCACTGGCATCCTTCTGGGGTGTTTGCTTCTCTATTCCTGCCTTTACTTGGGCTTTTCTGAAGGACCATAACACTTCCGAGACATCACAGACTCCAACAACCAATTCTGCTGCAGTATTCACACTGAACAGTGCTAGAAGTGCGTGATTGCTAAAGCAAGATAAGTGGCCTATCTGATGTACATGTTTCAAGATTCTTTTTGTCCTAGCTTTTAGAATAGTCGAGGTAGGTCTTTTTTTTTTTTTTTCTTCCTTCCTTCCTTCCTTCCTTCCTTCCTTCCTTCCTTCCTTCCTTCCTTCCTTTCCCTAAACAGATAGATCCTGGCTACCTCTGAGCTCTTAAGGGAGATCTGAGTATGGCATTAGGTATTTAAAAGAAGTGATGCCAGATGCACTGTTAATCTTAGAAATAACTTGGTGGTGTGGTAACTGTGAGAAACAAGAAACTCAAGACTGGCTAGACACCTGGGTCTTTCCTCCCGTCACTCACACCCAGGGCAAACACCTTCTAGGACCTGCATTGAGGTAATATGTGCTTTATTTGCCAGCAGGAAAGAAACATTGTGTATGATGATGATTAGGTTTTCCTGAACAACTGTCTGGAAACGTCTACTTTCCTGCTTAAGCAGTTGACTTACACAAGAAGAAACAAACCCAGACCCCACTCCCACGGAAAGAAAAGGTGTTGAAATGGACTTTAATAAAGCCTCGCTTTCTCTTTAAACCTGTGAACAATGGAAGGTCATGTGACATGGTGGCCTATCATCCAGCACATTAATAGCTGTGCTAGAGTAATTACACTTGTGGTATTTTTGCCTCAAGTGAAATTCTGAAATAAGACGATGGAAATTATGATACTGCTGATAAATATTAATAAGTGAACTTTTAATTTTTTTTTTTGCCACAATATTCAAAATGCTGAGCATCCTGCTAACGCTGAAGCAGCCCGATGTGTTTGCCTCCGGGGAGAACGATGCTTTGCGCACTTAAGAAAAAAGTTTAACGGAATTAAAATTTAATATCTAATTAGAGTGAGGCTAATATATTTTGAAATGAGTGGGGGAGCTCTGCTCCTGTGCTGCGGATTGGGGATGGCCGTTAATCTTACCTGTAAGGCTGCATTGAGAGGTGTGCAGTAGGCGTGGCTGCTCTGCATGTTTTTAATAAGGGAAGGGTTACTGTGTAAGGAAAAGATAAAGACTCAAAGTTAAATGCAATCCACCCATGGGTCCATGGTCAGTTTTGTCTTTAAGCTTGCTGGTAGCCTTTCCACATTAGAAATTCTTCCCCCTCCCAGTCACCAAACTGAAGGGAAAGTTAGAGCTTATCTGTGTCTGGGGATCGGTCTGGTGAAAACCTTTGGGGATGGACCTAGCTGCTCACCCCGGAGAAGCTGTCTTGTATTATAACACATGGGTATTTCCCTCAGAGGCCAATCTGCAAAGGGGTGGCTGCTGCCCACACTCCAATAGGAAGGAGAGAGCCTGGCACAGGGCAGGCTGCCTGGCACTGCACAAACAGTCTCTGCTAGGAGGCTTCACTCTTAGTTGAACTTGACCCTGACGGCTGGGGGAATAACACTATTATTCCTACATTGTAAAGCAGGAGCTTAGGCGGTTGCCTTTCCTGCACAGCCCAGTCTGAGAGAGCACACTCTAATTTGGTGTTATTTCTGTTGAGAAGGTAAAAGGAGACAAGATACTTTTTTTTTTCTTTAAGAAAAGCATCTCTGCCCTAGTTAAAACAAAAACAAAAAATACTACAAAATTATACTGGACATACTGAGGGAAAAGCACGGCTTCCAGTAGGTAATGAGGTTCATTTATCAACAGACTTTGAAGGAAATGACATTATCAATCTTTTCCCTGTGCTTAGGACAATTTGGTTTTCAGTTTGGGAGACAGGTCTCTGGACAAAGTCCAGGCTGTGCTGGAGTGTGCAGCCCTCCTTCCTCGGCCTCCTGGGGGGGGGGCTGTCATTACACGCACTCACCCCTATGCCCAGCTTGCTAGGCATATTCTTAGTTATTCATATTTACTATTACTTGATTGTTCACACAGAGAACACCAGACATATACTGCAATCATCACTTCCTTTCATTTGCAGGGGTTGGGGTAACACAGGAAATACCTAGCTGTGAGGGTCCCCGTAAGCTGCTGAATCAAAATACAGTCAATCGTTGGCATTAAAGACATTAAAAAAAAAAAAAACAAAAACAAAAAAGCATCATTCTAGGCACTGGCGTTCCAAAGAGAAACGAGCGAGGTACATGTACAAGTCACACCATTTAGTTTCTGTTGCAGAGAGCTGTGGCACTGCTCTGGGGTGAGATGTCATACTACATGGGATGAGTCAACCATGCAAAGCCAAAGCAACAGCAGAAACAAAAGAACAAAGCAAGTAAAGGCTCTTACTGTGCGCCAAGCTCGTCAGAGTTTTCACCGGGGCAGTATTTGCGAGGACGGCCTCGTTGAATATGGCGGCCACGTATAAACTCTTCATCATCAACTGTCCAAAAGGACCCAAACTCATCCTCTACTCTGATAAAGCACTTATGCAGTGAGAGGTTGGTGCGAATGGCACCCTGGGATAGGAGCAGCAGCAAAGGAGATGGAGTGGCAACAAAAGGAGACGGGGTTGGGGGCGGAACAGACATCCAATACAGGGAACAGGAAAAAGAAAATAAAATGCAATAAGCATAAGCAAATGGCTTGTGAGGGTTAATATGCATCGCCGCCTAAAAGCTACTAGCATGTGATGTAACAGAGACCAGCAAGCAGGGGCAGGGGGACTGGTGGGTATACGAGACAGGAGGGATGAAATGCTCTTTTGCTTCCCTTAACTGAGACAACATGGAAACCAGTTCTTTGGTCTGACGCCGCCTAGCAGCCTCTACGTTACACTTGTTAGCACAATCCGAGCTGGGCTAAGAAGTTCAAACATGGCGGACGTACCCACTGATCTTTTGTGGCCTCCGTTTTTGGAACTCTACTTCATCCACTGTCCATACTGCCCCTTTAACGTTCTCTACTCGCACAAAACACTTGTGAAGACTAAGATTATGACGCACTGCATTCTGCAGCAAGTATAAAAGAGAGAACATTGACATTTTTTTTTCTATAAGAAAAGACTCAAAAAACAAAAACAAAAAAAAAAAAAAAAAAAAAAAACAAAAAGCCAAAAACACAACAGTACATTAGGCCCCCCATCTGTAAAACCATCCTCCAGAGCTGTAGCCACCCCACCCCCACCTCGTGGAGAACTTTCTATGAGTGTCTTTTCCAAGAAAAACCCCAAATTATGGTCTAATAGTACTTTGGCATTGAAGCCTAATATCTGGTACCATGTGATAGATGTTACACTGGTAAATATGCATGCAAGCCCTAAGCAGGTTCCTCCACATAAATCTAAAATACTGTTAAAACGATGTCAAAATCAGGAACTGTATAAAGTATAAAAGCTATTCTTTACGACCCATCTATGTGGGATTCACAAAAGGGTGTTTATTTTTAAATCATGAAAGGTGAACACTTTGAAATACATAGCAATGTCTGGCTTAGAAACCATGTATAAGCTTTATTAAGGGAAAGTTTAAAATAGGATTTTACCACTGAGAGTACCATTGTGTATAGCCAAGATGATTAGGGGCGACCTGAGCACCAAGAGATCTGTCTCAACCATCAAGCTAAGCCTTACCTTCCAGAATGTTTATGAACATGGTAATTACTAGGGGAACATGTTAAAGCAACTGAACAAATGCCAAGAACCTACAAGTAGGACTCTCGGTGGCAAAAAAGACTATGTTCTTGCACTTGGTTTTTACATTTAAAAGTCATTGTTGGCCACTGCTAAGTGGGATACTTCACAATCTAACAAAAAAGATGCTCTTAATTCTTGGGGAGAGCTTTAAATGTCTCCTATTTCCAGGAAAATCCACAACCCTGCCTGGATAACCAAACTGGATAGACTTTAGTCCTGCCTGGCAGATTTCCTGATCTGCACTCCATGAGACTTTCACCATAGACTTGTGATGGTTTTTCTCATACAGAATAAGTGGCTCAGTCCGGGCAGAGGAACTTGACACATCTATTGAGTTTCTGGCACCTTATACCAGCATTGCCATGGCTCAGATAAGCTACACTCTTCTTCTATAGTAATTTGTTCTGTTGGTGGCAAATCTTGAAACTCTGAGAGGCTTTTCAGATTTCTGGACAAGGATAACTGGTGACTAAGAGGATTCAGGTCACCTAAAAGTTTTTCTTCTGTATGATAAAGTACTGAGAAGGTAACAGGACAAATTTGATTGCATATGTGATGATGTGTGCACTAGTGAGATCCACAGAAAGACCTCACAGGGGGCATGTGAGTACAGCTGGAAGTAGATTTGTGATACCAACGTGACTAATCAAAAGATGTCCTTGATTGAAAAACTTTTTGATGAGCTGCTGAATAACAAAACCCTATGCATATAAATGTAACCTAGCTTTTAAGGAAATAATTTCATCTTTATATTTCACAGGGAATTACTTCCTCCAACAGCATGGAGGACACAAAAGTAAATAAAGCCAGTTCCCTTTCCAAATCAAGACAGCACACGGACACACATGTGAGAGATAGCTGGGGAACAAGGCAGCATTAATCACTGCTGGAAATTTTACCTAAGTATCAAAGAATGACTATATATGATTTTGAGGGCATTAAAACAGAAACTTAAAAAAAAAATCAAAAAGCGTTTTGTTTTGTTTTTAAGAATAAGCAAAGATGAATGACTCTCTTTTGTTTTGTCTTTTAAATCACCATCCCAGTAAGGACACACAGAGAAAATTTTCTATATTGATGAGTCATTGGGTACTTTTATGAGACTGCTTGTATTAGTGATAATTTATCTTTCCTCTGCAAAGCTAAAAAAGTGAGGAGTTGAAATTCATACTCACAACTGGCAATTATTTTTAAATTTGATCGGCTGGTATTTACAAAAAGTAATTTGAAGAATATGCCTACTTCAAGCTTCTTCTTCTTAAATTTTTAAAAGAGCCTTTGTATTTTATTTCCTGAGGCAGGCTGGGAAAGAGGCTAAGATCTGCAAATACTGTTTCCTGTCAGTCCCCATGGGGCTACTGAATTAATTCTGTGCCTATACTTATTTTCTTATAGAATGCAAGAAAACCAAAATATGTTTCTTTCTATTAAATGAAAGAAGTTGTATCCTGTAATAGTACCTACTGAAATTAAGGATAAGGACAAAGCCTAAATACTAAATGGTACTAAAAAGATCTACCTGGCAGAGTATAATAAATTAAAAGTAGGAAGCTGAAAAGATGCTGTGAAGGCTATTTGTGTAGCCCAGCTTGGCCTTGAACTCACAACCTTCCTACTTCTCAAATGCTGGCATTATTGGCATGTACCACCACGCCTACCCAGGAAGGCTTAAGGTAACGTACGGAGTAAGGACCAGTGAAACCTAGAAGGGACTCCAAGCATTTTAGGGGGTTATCTAGCAGAGTTATGGAATTTGACCTGTTCTATGGCAAATGGTGTCATATTACATAGTTGTGAAATGACCTTTCTTCTTCAGGGTAACCGTGAGCACTGAATGGGAAGCCTTGCATTCTTCAGAAACCACCCTAGTTACTGTGAGCACATGATTACATAGCCTCCTCTACCTATGGGGCTGGTGAGCTATGATCTAACCACTGAAGGATCTTAAACAGTTTGGCTGTGTCTCTAGGTTCCTAAATGCAGCCCTGTAAATAACTGTCAGTTACCCGATAATCAATGACATGTGGTTTGTGTAAGCAAAAAGGCCAACCTCAGAGTTAAGGATCAGTGTCCTCTCCTTTCCCTGCAGAGAATTCTCCAGCTGGTTTAGCCACACCTCTCTCATAAGGGCCAGGGGTGGGAGCCTCTTCTATTTGAGCATTTCAACCACAACAAAACCTTTCTCCCAGGCACATTCCCAGTACAAATGGAATATTCTCCTCACCCTGTAACTGAATTTTCCCAACTAGAACCTCTGTTCTATAAAGGTCAAAAGCAAGACTGCAAAGCCTACCTTCCACGTGGCCGCGTTGCGTCGGAAGTAAGCAAACATCCGTGTGAACCAGTTATAGATTTCATTTAGTGTTAGCTGCTTTTCTGGAGATTCGAGAATAGCCTGCGAAGCAAAAGGGATCCAAAGAAGGTAATTTTTATGACCCAAGTGACAGAAGCATTCGACTGTTCATAAAAATGTTAAAGATAAAAAAAAAAAAAAAAAAAAAAAAAAAAAAAAAGACGAGCATACAAACTGGGACTTGGAGCAAACTCCTCAGACAGGTTTCACAAAATGATCAAAGATTAATGGTTGTATTTAAACAGTTCAATAGCAAAACTCGAAATGGAATTATCTAATTGTTTGGAGTTTTTATTTCTGTTTCCGTACAGAAATATTAATTTATTAGTCATTCATAAAGCAGAATCAAAGAGAAATGCAAAACATTTCACTAGCTGATTAAAGCTCAGTAATTATTTAGAGCTCAGATTAATTCTAGGGTTCAGAGATTACTGTAGCTTTGTGATAATTGACTTGCCATCTTTAAACAGCCTCATTCGCACTGTTGTGTGAAATGAATTCCCTAATAATCACATCGTATTGTAATACTTAATCAAAAGCAATTATGTTATATATTGCAGTTTTTAAAAACCTTATAGAAAAGGTTTTAGCATGCTTGCATACTAAGTGGTTTTAAATCTACTTCATCAATATGATATACCCAGGAACACCTTTTGGGTAGCATTTCATGGTCTGTGTTATTTACTTACCTGCCTAATTAAAGATGCATATGTAAATGGTGGTCTAACTTCTGCATTCTTATAAAATTCTTGGTTCTGCGCAATATCTGCTAAATATAAGAATCATTGTCCTATTAATGATCACTTTTTAAAAAGGGGATCACTGACAGAACTGCAGATTCCCCATGCCGCCCCGGCAAAGACAAGAGTAGCTACCTGAAGAAATGGGGACGTTGTATTTGTCCGAGTACCGCCTGCGGATCGGTCCCACCGTGTGCATACTGGTGGTGGTGATGACAGAGGGGCCTTGGGTGACAGGAGTTAGCGGGGCAGTTGGGGTCGTGGGGGTGTGAGGTAAGCTCTGTGGAGAAGCCTCTGATGCAGACTTGGAGAGGGTGACACTTGATACCAGATTCAGCTATGAAGAGAACAAGGTTGGTTAGGAGGACTTGAGAAAAGCAAAACCAAAACAAATCAAAGACAGAAACCCCAGCAACCAAGGAAGCCTCTCTCCTCCCAAAGGAAAGACAGGCGGACACCTGCTATGTTTACACAGGATTCACTTCCAATTAAAGGTGTTCTCCTTTGCATGGCAGGGAGGTTGAGGACTGAAGGGACACCAGCTGGGCTATAGTGTAAACCTGGCTTGTCCTGTGCTACTTTCAGTGGTATGCTACCACAACTGGAAAGCTGTACCTACTGCCTCAATATAGTCCCCCTTTAAAAGTGTAGCAGATTTGCTAAGTGGCCACTTAGGGCTCTGAGCCACTAGAGACCAGCAAGAAGTTGTAAGACTTGAGTCCATCATGGAGCTGAACAGACTGTGTGGGTGGGACCTGCAGCTCCCATTCAACAGTGGTACTTACTCAGAAGGCCCACATCTATTTCTTCAAAGTTGTAACATTTGGTTACTTTTTAAAGTTTTAAACAGTCCAACTAGAAATGACTATCATCTGAAGAAGTGTAAAGCAAGCAGCATTCGTGAACAACCCATCCTTTCTTCCAGCTCTTACACTATGGGGAGGCATGGCCTTTCTCCAAAATTGACTGGGACAGGAAAACTCCCTTGAGTTTGACAATGCAGAAGAACCTAGTGTTTTTCAACATGTTTATGGAGGTATCAAATACTCAGAGAACTTCTCCAAACCTTTCCCCAAAATTCTACAAAGTACATTCTTACTTGGCCACATTCACCACATTTCAGATCAGTCATCACAACGTCGACTTTGCCACTGTCAGCTTCAACATTAAGCACAAGTATTACATATGGATGGTATTACAGTGAGTCCTTAGCTCCAGTGTACTGGGAAGACTAGATTTTAATTCACACACTAGAAGTGAAAGAGAGCACAAAAATCTTCCCTGTGCAGTAAGCCCCAAGGGAAGAGAATGGAAAGATCTGAACATTAACAGAAAAACCCAAATTTGGTGCTCTGAGTTAAACAGTGGGCTGTGAGCTTCCAGCTCTGCTTTTCTTTCTGTGTTCAGGTTGAAATACTGACTCAGCACACCACAAGCCCCCAGTGTCCAAGAAGAGCAAGCTGGGGAGGTGGCATATACTAGCTGACCTTCAGCAAGCAGGAGCAATGTGGTAAATTACCCTCTCAATGGTGCTAGAAAGTTGACTGTGACACACATTTGCAAACCAAGTGTTAATAGTTCAAAGTAGAGGCCAGGAACAGGGCACAGCAAGGTGCCAACGGAGAAAAGCAAAGGCCAACCTCTTCTTCACCTCAGGCCTTAATAAGTGCCCAAGTCTGGGAACTGTATGTATTAGCATCTGCCAAAGGGGGCGGTGTCAAGAAAATCAGTATAGGAAGAACCCAAATACATCACTTTGATCATTCAGCTGCTGTAATGCTTAAGCATGAGGAGACTTTGGAAAGTCACGGGTATCATTTACAAAAATATATGTTCTGAAGCACCTGCCCCGAAAGTCTTCCCTTTATTCACACAAATGGCTCACATTTTATAGGGAATGAAGGAAAAGCTTGCCAATATCCTTACCCAGACCCAAAGTCAAACCACATCATTGTGTGCCCTTGTTATTGCTTCTGTACCTTCTACCTGTGTTCAGATCATGTCTAATATCAACACTATAGCCATTCCTACTTTTTTGTTGTGCTCGCTTTTGGAAATGCTTCCATGAACAGCTTTGAACCTTGCTTACAAATGGCACTCAATAAATAATACCAAGAACTTCTAAAGGCCTGGAAGTGGGGCTAAACTACAGAACTTCTGTCCCTGACGTGCTTGGTGTGGAAAGCAGACATAAAATCCAACTCTGGGGTCTCACCCTGGTTCTTGACTTCTCCTTTTATAGCCTAAAAAAACACTGTCCCATACACACTGACTTTCTCAGAAAACAACAAAAATGATGAGCACAAGAGTCCACAAGCTCTCTTGCAGTTTGTTAAGGAAGTTTGGCAAGTCCTATGGAACCATCCAGCAGGTATAAACTGAACGCCCAGATCTGAGAAGAACTGATGAATCCATACAGAGACATGCCATTAGATGCGTACGAATTTGACTCTTGTAGCTTTCATAAGTAGATTAATACTCGAACCAGTTCTGCTGGAGACAGCAACAAGGAAAAAACAGAGCCTTCCAGGTTTTCTGGGTGGTTTTGAATGTAGGTAGGAACTGGAAATAAACACTGAGCTGGAAGTGAGGGGTTTACCAGGCTTGACAAATGACACCACGATTCACACCCACTGCTGGGCTGTCTCTAATAAGCCACAGAGGAAGCAGCCAATCTCAGCTAATTACCAGATAAAAATGTATTGTAAGGACTCTAATTAGGAGATGCGGATGGAGGTGATCTAATGATTAAATGGTGCGTTCCACTGACCCCACCATCCATGTGCAGTGGTGCACAATGTCTCTGGAATATTTTGTAGAAACAGTCATTTTATTTCAGGGAGGGGAGACAGTAATATTTGTAATGATGGCTATGAGGTAAACTAATTAAAAGACGGTTCCTAGAGGAAAAGGGTGTCTGGGAGCAGCTGCAGCCATTCCAAACCTAAGTGCCAAGTCTCAATGGAAGGGCTTCAGTCAAGTGGAAAATTTCTGCCTGACCTCTGCCCTTGCTATTAATTTGCAGAAAAACTAATGACACATATACATATTCCCACAAAATTGTTCTAATTGCTAATTTGCCAAAGGAGCCTAGACTCTAAATTAAACATGACTGTAGCCTGGGAGCGAAGAACAAAAAACTGGGAACTCCAAACAGAGCGAGCTTTGCCATGCAAGACCATCAGAAGGGTGGACCCACTACTTAATGACACAACCCTGGCAGCTGCTGCTCAAGTTTCTCAACTTCTATACTTCTGTCTGGTGATCACATGGGTGTCTTGAGGAGAAACCATCTTTTTGAAAAGAAGGATTCAAATTAACACTTCACATCAAATCTACTCTTACAGTGGAAGGTTCTACCAAAAACGTTGAAAATGAAATAATAAAGTGCCACCACAGAGTTAGAAGAGCAAACCCAGCACTCGGGGTGGGGGTGGGGGCACTCAGTCAGGAAAGAGTTTGCCCAAGGATGGAGGAACCCTGGTATTTGTTGGCAAAAATAAAAAAACAAAAAACAAACAAACAAACAAACAAAAAATCAGTGTTCAACTGAGTGAGAGATCCTGTCTCAAAAATAAGTTGGAGAAATGATTGAGAAAGACATGTAATATCAACCTCTGACTCCTCTCTCTCTCTCTCTCTCTCTCTCTCTCTCTCTCTCACACACACACACACACACACACACACACACACACACACACACACACCAGGAACATGCACACACACTAGAAACATGCACACAGAGGCACATATATAGACACAGATAAAAGAGCATATCAGTGGTGTGAGTTTTTTACTGCTAACTTGAAATATGCACCTTAATTGTAAATTATTAAATTTTTAGCCAATCATCAAGGAGAAAGGAAAACCTCCTTTCTATATCTCTAAGTGTAGGCAAGGATTTAGAAGTGATTTTCTTTTCCAGGGCATGAAGCAGGAAGGGATTGGACTGGGAGGGTTTCTTTCCCTGATGGAAAGCCCATTTTTCTCGTTGTGTTCATTTTTCTATTTAAGAAGAGGTTGCTATGTTTAGAAAAGCTAGTAACGCAGATATTTTTCTCCATGGCAAGTTGCCATTGAAGGGATGATCTCAGCAAAGATAATCTCTTTCAAACTCTGGCCAGGAGCTAAATTCTTGTGTCACTTAAAGTTGCTGAAGGCTTTTGGTTTTTAAATAAAAACACAAACAACTGTGCTATAAAGCCCTGACTTTTACCTCAGTTTGGTTACTGAAGGACTTTCCTGGAAGCTTCTACCATTGAAAGGATCCCAACTATCAGCTACCCTATATTGTACTCTGTCCTTTTGAAAAAACAAAAATCAATCTTTAGTTTTTCCACAGCACACACCCCTCAAGAGTAAGAATGGTGAGTCACCCGCATTTAAAAAAAAATAAAAAATAAAAAATAAACAAACCACTGACGCAAACCCCAGACAGAAGCAGACTCGTTAAGGGAGTATTCCCACAAGAACCCATTTTTTATTTTGTTTTTGTTTGTGCTCTTGCTTCTCATGAAAACAGATTCTGAGAACAAAAGAAAAACCTGAAACCAAAACACCAGAGAACAGCTGGGGGGGGGGCCCCCTCCGGGCTCACCCAACTGGTTTCTCTGCTGTTGGCTGGATCGGCCTGAGAGGCCTAGGTCCTGCCCTCACCTGCAGTGTTCTGAGACTGGAGGCTGCCTTTGTAGGCATGAATCACCAGGTTCAGACTCCATGGACAGAGGGCAGGGCAGTGGATGGCAGGGGGGAGGCCTTTGGGAAGGACTCTGCGCTCTGATGGGAACCTGGCTTATTCTAGAGACTCAGAGGGTGGCACTCATGGCGGGGACAAGAACAACAAACCTGAGCTGAGGTGAGGATGGGGACTTAACAAAAAGCAGTCTATAAAACAGCTTTTGTGTGTTGCATTAGAGAGTCCCCCTATGACAGGCCACCACTGCTGCCCCCAGGCCCCTGCAGCCCACAAATGGTCACCCATCCCTTGAAGTTCACAGGCTCTTTTTTTCTTCCCCCCCCCCCCAAAGGGATGGCGGGGCTGTTCTGTTTTCATAGGAGCTAAAAAAAAAAAAAAAAAAAAAAAAAAAAACTATTTCAAAACAGCCCTAACTGCTATAGCTAGAGTCAAAGAAAATGTGCAAAGAGTATAATCTCCAGGTGCATTTCATTCCAAAAGTGCTGTAAGAACTTCTCATAAAGTAGGCTCCACTACCTGTGACTGCCCACCAAATCTCAAAGAATGTGGTTTCTCCAGGCCTGGGGAGTAGTTCTCACAAGTGCTGGAATCCCCAGCGAAGACACCCCCTCCCCCATTTTGAAGCGGGGGGGGGGGTTGCATTGCACCCTCCTAACACCAGCCTAGCAAAACGGCTTTGTAAGAAGTCACCGACAACTTAATAAAGTCCTAACACAGACATGTTCCCTTTTGTTGTCCTTCTGTGTTGAGTTACATCTCAGCCAATTCTGCATGGAGTTAAGTATAGACACGACATTGTGCTGCTCACTCTGGGAATGGAACTGGGTTTGGAACAAAGGAATGGTAGACTATTTTCTCCTTTTTGCTGTTGCTTCTCTTTCCGTGGGAAACAGAAGAACTTTTAAATCTTAAACTACAACAAATTTGGCTATTGTAAACATATGTCAACAACAGCCTTTTCTCTCTTGGTACCTAGCTGCTAGAACTTGCTAGATTTTAGCTAGGCCTTTTCCATGCAGGGCCTGGCTTGAACGACAGTAGACTTCTAAGATTGGTGAGTCCTTCCCTTCCTCTCTCAGCTGCCATCCTCAGACACACAGCTGTGTATACCTATTCCTCACCAGAGGAAGAGCTGGGAAACTGACCTCTTTCCTTGCAGATAATCCTATTTAAGGTTTTAGGTTTCAAATGACACATCGTTTTCCCAGGTCATTTTTTGTAGTCACACACAGCATTCTATGTGCAACACATAATGAGTGTATGTGTATACATGTGTGGACATATGATGCAATTATTTGGTAGATTGTTTACAAGACTCCAAACACCTCCATGACAAGCACAGGTCTTTCCTGTTTGACCATATTCAGTGTGTCATCATTGCCACGTTACTATCCCTTGATGGAATGGTTTGATTTCTAAGTACAGGAATTCCAATTTTGAGAAAAGAGATGAGATGGCCATCAGAAGATGTGCTACCCAAGGAGTAAGTAGGTTGGGGAGACACTGTTCCCATCAGTCATATGCTTGCAGTCCATTGTGGGTAGTCCTTGGGCACTGTCCTGGGAATGTGTACATCCCATTACTATTCAAACCTAAAGATGCACCCCACTCTGGGGTCCGGAAAATGTATCTCTGATTTAAGAGCCATCTGAGAATGTACTGGCATCTCGGATGGGAGGAACTGGGGACACAGTGGACCACTGGGTACAAAAGACACTTACCACCCAAATGGCATTTAGCGGAGGGCAACATTTATAGCTGAGTATTCTATCACTTAGTGACTAAGAATTTTAAAATAAACACCACGTTCCTTTTAAACAGAAATGGAAAAAGAAACAACTTCATAAACTCACTGGCAAGGCTGTTAATGTGGACGTCCCCATCTATGGTTAGATGTGAAACTCAGTGACTACTTATTTCAAACCACAGATGCTAGAGTAACACTCATTCAAATGCTCACCCATTATTTAGGGTGGAATGAATCAATTACAGGCTGTAGGGAATATTCTGAACGTTAGGATCAGTCACCAGATAGCTACCAGTCCCTAAAGTTGAAAGCATCAAGGGGCCTGAAATATGCAGGTCTTTTTTTCCCCCCATTTCTTTCTTTTCTTTTGGCAAGGAAGTGAAAATTTATGCAAAACATTACACGTCTATCTTTTATAATTAATTTCCCAATGCCTCACCTATACATATTTTAATAATTCCTGATTTATCAGATGGTATCTATAATAAAATTTTCTATTTTCCAATAAATGAAAAGGAGGCAGGTTCACTCCGACAACAGAGTGTCACACAATATCTGCGTGTCAGGCACCAATTTTTACTTCTTACATGTAAGTTAAAGGATAAGGAATTTATAATGCTGCCTGTGAGGGGACCACTTTTCATACACAAATGTGATTTTTTTCCCAAAGGGTAATACAACAGTACATTTACATAAACTAATCCAAACAATCTATGTATTTGACAATGGCAAACCTCACACAGACGGGCTATTGTTGGTTTACATCTTGGAGTTCTTTATACTGGCTTGTAGCACCGCTCTAGCTGTCAAAGGTTTGACTTGGACGCTAAATAAATGGTTCTAGAAGTGCTGTGCAGCGATATTGGACTTCTTTGCAAAAGAAAACCTGCTGTGTATGAATTCAAAAGCTATTAATTTTTCAGTCAAAAATATTCGTGCCTATTTCTTTTAATAAAGAAATACTGTGCTGAGCTACTAAGAGATAATGTTGACTAGTGGTAGAGAATTTTCAATAGAGCAGTTAAAAATAAATTTAGTAGGAGGTCCCCTTCAAAGTTATAATTTTCTAGAATGTAAAACATTTTTTTTTCAATACTAATCAAGACAAACCTTCCTTCCCTGTTCATTCCCTCACCCCCAGCTGCTCTTCTCTTGTTTACTGACTGCTTAGCACAGGTCCACATGGAGACAGAGCATCAAGGGTCCTCTTGTGCCCATGTGGGCTTATATATCTGGTGCTCCTAGCTATTCCCAGGCCCCATTACCCACTGGGGACCCCAAGGGACTCTGTAGTCCCATCTCCTTATGTGGATTCCTCCTTTGCCTTGATCTAAAACGAGCCTATTACCAGAGTGCTACTCTATCATGGTTGTTTTTAATCCATGGAGCAAGAAGGGGACAACCTCATCCTCTCCCCCTTACGAGGTGTGAAGACTCGGGAATCTTCAGTCTGGGGGAAGCACTTCACTAAAGCCACTGAGGACTTCCAGAGAGGTCCAGAGCAACCACTCCCCTTTGTCACTGGTCATGACATCATTTCAGGGTAGCACTGATTTGCTCAGCTGGGTTCAGGTTCTTCCCAGTGCTCATTTGAGAAGACCAGACAGGTGGGAACAACTCCGAATGGTTTGACCCTTTCCCAACCCTTTCTCTTTTTGGTAGCTTAACCATCCTATACCACAGCCATTCACTGTGAGACCCACAGAAGCTACAACTCTTTCTCAGTAAAAATGGATGTGTGGAGTGTTTAATGATTTTATGTCCTGTATCTCAGTAATGTGTTCTGCTTCAGACATTAATTCTGTCTGCCAACTGCATCTTGGCAGGCTACCATATTTACTGGGTTAATAGTCTGACTCCATTTCATTTCTATCACCATACATCATACATATAGGGGTGTGTGTTTGCTTTATTTATAGAAAAAAAATCAGTCAAAACAGATAAACCAATACTTTGCCATTATGCTGCATCATTGCATGTTGATTAAAATTGCTGCTACTAACTATAGATTGTCAACGCTCAATTAATTTTCACACAGGGACTCCCAGCAAAATCAAATAAAGTCAGCGTACCTTCAAATTTTACAAATCTTAAAACCAGGAACCAAGGCATGGCCTCCAATTTGAATAATCAGCTAAAGCTACTAGGAGACTTCCGGAAATGACACCAAAGCTCATGAGATCAGCATATGGTAAAGTACAAGGTTCAAGGCAGAGTGTTTGCTTTAGATATCATGTGCCTACCAAGATCTCAACTTTAAGGCCTAGCACAAAGAAATAAGCAAAGGAGACTTCTAAAAACCTAGGATGAGTATAATGTCTTTCTCATTCTACATCTGAATATTATGTCTCTCTCATTCTACATCTCTCCCTGATGCCTAGCATCCTGTCTTCTCCGCGAAAGGCCAGAAAGAGTCAGGTGAGAAAGGGCTTCAGCATTCCCCTCTGCCCTTTCTTTCGCATGTGCTATTCTCCCAGTGCTTGAGGTGGGAGGCAGAGAAGGAACGCACTAGTTTGTGGTGCCATTTCCCCAGGCTGGGGACCAGTACTTACGGGCTGAGGGGCAGCTTTGGGTTCCGTAGACTTCACATGCAGGTGGGTCATCATGGCTTGCAGGCGCTCTTTGTCTTTTGCAAGCTAATGTGAAGAAAAGGCTTTGTTATCTCTTTGAATACAGATGTATGACTCTTGAACATCCCAACTAACTACAGCACATGACAGAATCAGTTTTATTACTTCATCATTTGAAATATATAGGACCCCTGCCAAAGTCGAAGTAACCAGAGGTGTTGATGTGAGATTTCCCAACACAAGGTGCATTAAGGCTTTAACTGGGACATTCTAGACCTGCTGGCACCAAGGAGTCCCAGGGAACACGGACAGCTCAAAGGCAAGCGTGAATCACACCCATTAGCCAAGCTGATTCATGAGGAGGCCACGGGAAGAGGAGCAGCTAGCTCACACTCATAAACTCATCTGTTGTGGTTGTAGACAAACTCACAGACACCTGGATACACTTGTGGAAAGTTAGCTGAGTGTATTACTGGGACTGACGGGTGATGATAGCTAGGAGGAACAGGGATACCAGTACAGAGGGCTTCCCATTTTTAGGTGAATAATGCATTCCCTGTTTCAGATGTTCAACATCAGAGTACCCACTAGATGCTCCCTTAAAACTCCCCACATCTTCATTCCATGAAAAGTTATCTTCTGATGTCACAGATGTTTCTAACTGGATGGGCAGAGTGGAGAGTCACTATTCATTAGATGCTAAAATCTTTATGCTGGCTTTAGACCACTTTGAGATAGTGGTAACTTTGTTATATCACAAGAAAGCTGGGGCAAGGGCCTCTAATGATGTAGTGTATAATATAGCCCCCCCCCAAAAAAAATAAAACGGAAGTTGAGGAAATAGATGTATGTAGCATGAAGGGACAATGTAGACATGGGAAGGGGAGGAATATTTTTGCACAAGTGTGTGTATCTTCAAAACCTTCACAGACAGTTTGTCCCAAACAATGCCTTAAAGGTCAGGTGGGGAACCTATCTATTCCTTTAATACCTCAAAGTTGACTTTAAATCTTCAGGAAGTAAGTTTTTTTTTTTAAGTCTAAAATTATGCCAAAATTAAACCCACTTTATATTTTTAACCTAGTTATTTCTGGCGGTGGGGAGACAGGAGGTGGGAGCTCAGGAGTCAGGGGAAGGTAAAGAAGGGGGATTGAGTGCAATGGCAGAAGAAAACGCATGTCTGCCTCTTTCCCACCGGCTGCTGGCTCAGTCAACAGCCATATCACATTTGAGTTTTTATTCTTTTTATTCCCTTGTGGTTCAGAGAGGAATAAATCAGAAAGAAGTAGGAGGGAAAAGCCTTACAGGGTTAGCATTTATCTTTCAACAAACAGGAAATGAAAACGACACCATATTAGGGTCTACTTTATGTTACTCGTCCTCTGTTCTTTGGTGCATTATTGAACTGCCAAACTAAGATTCTCAAAACACATAATGCCAAAGGAATTTGGGTTTTCATCGTGGCTCAGACAAAACAATTAAAATGCTGGGAATAGCATTTTTCTATGGTTATTCATTTTTTTACGTTAAGTGCCCTAAGGGGTTTTTAGTTGTTGTTGTCTGTTTTTTTTTGGTTTTGTTTTTTATACTAAAACTAAACTACTCTAAGATGTCTTTTTTTTTTTTTTTTTTTTTTTTTTAAAGTTTGTCTTGAAAACTATCATGGGACTGGGAAGAATTTAGCCATGAATGTCACTCTTTCTAAAAACATGAAGTAAGTAGACTGCCTATGTTGAAGAACACAAATTAAAGGGTGAGAGGTGGCATTTACTGAAGAGTCTGCTGAATATTAATTGTGACTTAATTTAAGGGTAAACATCTCCGATGTAGCAATTACAAGGAATAAGTATGGTAAAGAGAGAAAAAAAAAAAAAAAAAAAAAAACCTAAAGCCCCAGCACCAGGGAAGATCCTCTCCTTAACCCTGAGCCTGACCTTCCAATAGGCGAGAGCAACCGCAATGTGTACACAGGACCACACCCACACCCTGAAGCTTACTGCCACTGGGAACACATCCCACCAACTCCTCAGTGCCACCCGCTTTTCCAGCCTCACCTCCTGACATAATGTGAGAATACAGACATCTTATGGTAGGGAATATACCCTTAGCATTCCCTGTTCACTTGGCGTTCCACAGAAAGCCAAGGAAAGGGGGTTTGAGAGACTGTCCAAAACCAACTAGCAATCTGACTGGCAAATTAAAACATAAAATATGTTGTGATGTCAGAAGTGAACTGTTCTTGAAATCTTTCCGCAGGGTAGGTGGCATTCAGGCCAGACAATGGGCTTCATTAGAGGGCACTCCTGAGTGGGGGACACACACACACACACACACACATTGAAATTAGCTGGTCTGCATACCAACTCTCTTGAAAGATGGCAGAATGGAAGTAGATAATGGACAGGTTATCTACCCTATTGTGCTGTGTTCAAATTCTGGCCTCTGGGCACACTCTGCAATCCTTCTGAGCATTTCATTTTTTCTCCTAAATATGGATTGCTCATCTCTGAACTCATACGGTTGTTCTGAACATGAGTTCTGTACAGAGCAAGCTCAGTGCAGCGGCTAATGAATGCTGCATGGAGGTTAAAAATACCTGCTGCAATTTTTTTTTTTTTTTAAAGGAGGAATTAAGTCAGTCTAGTCTACACTGGCTGGGTATATCTTTGGAATCAGGATCCACATAATGGGGTATAATGGAGTCAGCTGTGAGTCTGGGTGGGAAGAGAAATGAGCCCCCTGTTTTAAAAAACAGAAAGCACAGCTCCGGAGATGATGTCTAACTCTGACAGATTTCTCTCTGAGCCTGACGGTCCTCAGCTCTAGACAAGAAATTTTTCTCCACTGGATGATATAGGTCACCCCCTCTTCTATCATCCAAGCCTCAAATTGGGTTTTAGACAAAGTGTGGAAGCTCAGAACACATGCACTGCCCCAACAGCACTGATAAATGCCAAAGACCAGGCACTCCACTCAATGTCTGCAAAGACAAAACCCAGGGAGATGCAACCCAGGCTTCTGGCAGAGAGAAGGGAGCCGAGTCTGGGGTTTCCTCAGCATCTCCCTTCTACCTTTCCAGGGCAATTGTGTAGTTCTTGTGATACACACTATTCCACAGAAATGAGTGAGTGTAAATACGTGAAAGTACTACAGTTCTTAGGGACAGACGAGGAAAAGGCATGAGTCATCTCTCTGCTTGGACAGAAGTAAAAATCACTGTGGTGGCTCTGGGTCCCCTTGACTTATGTACTGCAACTGGGGAAACCGGGGCACACGGGATGAACACCTGGAAGGCCACAGCATCAACAAGGACAGAAGTAAGGCTAGAATCCTGCTTTATAACGCTGGGCCTAACTTTACCCAAAGGAACTGATCTTCAAACTTCATTGGAACCTGAAAGACAAAAACCTTCCCTCCACCACTCCTAGCCCTGACAAAGGAGCAGGATGAATGGAAGGTGGTAGCAAGAGGGATTGAGATGTCCCTAAAGAGACCACCATTAAACCCTGAGGTTTCACTTAAGCCTGCTAGGCCACCTCTCAAGAGAAGAAACAGGGAGTCTGGGCTTTTGTAAAGGCCACAGGAGTGCATGTAAAAGCCAAGGAGTGTGGGTGTCCAACTTTTCTGTGGACTTCGGCAGTGAAAGCCCTCACTTTCAGAGCAAGTTTTTATACAGTGATGACAGAAACCACCCAGTTATACTGCTCCTTCAACTGCACGTGACAAAAAGCAAAATGCATAAGGGGTCAGAAATCAAACCCGCACACCCTAAACAGCAGTCTCTGGAAGGAAGGAAAGCAACTTCCACCAACCTGGTCAGCTAGCTGCCAAGCAGAAACTCTGTACCCAGTTGACGGCCATGCGCATGCCTTCTGCATTCAGTACCGGGAGAAACTGGTGAATGTTTCTAAACCATCAACTGCCATGTTCAGCTAGTGGGGGGACCCACGGCTCATTTCACCCCAACTCAAGAATTTCCCTACTTTTATTGTGTTCCCTCACCATCTTAACATTCCTCACATGTTGTTATTAAAGACTCTCTTGACATTTAGAGCAGACACATACTAATACTCAGTCATAGTCTCGGAATCCTAATGCTTGCAGACTTAGGCAGGATTTTAAATTATGAAAAATCAGTGTCTTGGTTTTTCAAAGCAGGATGTGGAAGTGAGAAAGCCAGACACTCCCTCTCCCTTTCCCTGGCTCCAGCCTCAAAGCCCTGGCCACAGGAGGTCACAGTAATGCTGGGCCTTTGCTGTCCCTGACACTTTCTGAGCTTGCTCAGGAGAGACAAGAGCTTTAGTAAGGCTGCTGCTGCTGTGAGGAGATGTCCAGAGCCTGGCCACAAATGCGGTTAGAGAGGGCCAAAGGGGGACATATTACAGATAATATATTTGCTGAAGTCTAGGAAGCTGGTGTGATTACAAATAGCTCTGCTAATGGTGGGGTAATCACATGCAAAGCCCACACTGTAATTAATTTGTGTTAGGATTAATGTCTCCCCCTGCTACTGAAACCTGTGCACTCTTCTCTCTGTGGACACTTCCGTAAAGCTGACAGTTCCCAGTGTGGACAAGTTATCCAACTTCCCACTGGTTCCAGAGTCACTGGGCAGGGTGCCTTAGGAAGGAGCTCTAGGTGGCAGGCAAGGAAATAGCATCATAACCAAATATTAAAACCTAGCAACTGGCTCCTGAATGGGCAAGCTCAGAACCCTTCAGGGAAAGGAAGAGAGTCTGGGTAATTCTGCAGGTAGGCAGCTGCGGCAACAAAATGGTGACCAGGCTGGGGTTGGGGGCTGGGCTTTTCTACTATTCACCACTAGCTTCAAACAGGTTTAACTTTATGTTCCAAGCTACTGGTTCTCAACCTGTGGACCACAACCCCTTGGAGGGGAGGTTCAAAGAACCCTTCTATGGGTATTGCCTAAGACCATCCTGTATAAAAGATATTTACATTACAATTCATAACAGTAGCAAAATTGTTATGAAGTAGCAATGACATAATTCTATGGTAGGGAGCCACCACAACATGAGGAGCCATATTAAAGGGACACAGCATTAGGA